AGTGCTTGAGTATATCCTAGCAGGCACGGGATACAAGAAGGCTGGGGATGGTTCAACAGTAACACACAGACACTGTATCTGGACACATTTCAGAGCTGCAGTGTTTTCACACTAGAAAAGTGTCACATGACCCTCATCTGTAACTCTCTAAACCAGCTGCATTTCCACATTGCTGTTTTTATAATTTTTTTTTAATCCACAACATATTAGAATGACCTACTTCTGAATACCTCTTACAGTATAGATAAGTAAGTGACTATAGAATATATGAACATTTCTTACTTTATAAAAAAGCATTTTATTTTAATTAGCAGTTCCTGCAATATTTTAATGATTCTGCACAGATATTCAATCTCGATAATGTGAATAGTTTACAGGCTTTTGACAGTCAAATCTGCTTTTTAATTATGCTTGCTTGTTGCGTGCTGCTAAATTTTTACCAGTTTAAGAAATAGAATGAGAATTGAGTGCGAAGTAAGGTACACAAAAGAGGAGCCGTTGTGAAAAATATCTTTAGATGTCTCAAGAGAAGGGAAATCTATTTTGCCCGTGCTAAAGTATAACTGGGATGTATAAATATTCTTGACCTTCTCAGCCTGAGTAGTCTGTAACATCTGGTCCAGATGGAGATGGTGAATTAAAACTTAAACACTTAATGAATGGCCATTCTCTCTAGCTGCAGAGTTACACACACACAGTTCTCTTTTTTAAATAAAAGGTTATGTTTTTCATAAAGCTGTCCACCAAATGACTTGCCATTTAAGTTGCTTTACATATTCAGGGGAAAATCAGCATGCCATTTGGAGAGCAGAAAAGAAATGTGAATTTAGAGCTTGATTCTGTAAAGAATTGTCTAAATCATAAACATCTCGGTGAATAAGGTCGATGGTGGCCATCTCCAAACTCTGACAGTTCCTCCATGCAGAGTTTTATGGTGCAAGGAATATAAATGAAGTCAGCACTCGCATATAGTTACACGTGTAACAAAAGCATCCAATTAAGTTAAGCAAAATTATTTAATGACAGGACGTCAGAAATTAATGCTTCTACTCAGAACTGAATTGTTAATTTTACTTTCTCAGAAGATACCCAAGTTTTGGTAACTGACAGAAGTGTTTTGTTTTTAAGGTTTCACATGATGTGTGATCTTTTAAACTGTGAGCCCTGACCACAGTAGCAAGAATCAAAGCAAACAGTGTATATAAGACCTCATAGCCAGGGGTCAAAGGATGACTTTTTTATTACCACAAGAGACAAACAAGATATTTCCCACACTTTAGTGTAGGATCCAGATCTCTTCAGATTTTCACTGTCATACTGGGAGTCCTCTTAACTCTATGACTTTGTCACATATCAGCTTAATTAATAATAAATAAATGCAAGAACAAGCATTATATGGATGCACTATAAATACAAATTTGTGATGTTAAAATATTAATGTGATTGTAAATTATCGCTGCGTGCTCTGCTTGTTAATACAAAATGTCTGCTGGACAAACACTTGGTAGCATTACTGTCCTCCTTATTCACAAATGGTGCAAAACATTCGCAAAACAAGGGGAGGAGTCTAAGGGGTTGCAGTGCTACCTGGGAAATTCAGTGCACCTGTATTCATGCAAGGGATACATTTATCAGCATGTAACAGACTCATAAAATGCAATTCATGCACTGCAGGAAAGTTTAAGTGTATGTCTCAGGAATGCTGCATTTACTGTGAAAATAAATAAAAGTAATAATAATAATAATTAGCCCTCTGCTGATCAATGTGTATATTTGCATTTCTCATATTAATGGCTATCAAGGCTAACACATAAAATATATAAATACATAGAAATTAATGTAAACATACATACAAGCAGTGTAAAAGCATGAATTTCAAATATGAAAAGATCACTATAAAATATCAATCAAAATCATACCTTTCAATGACCTTGGACCTTATTTTATTCTAATATTTTTGTTTGAATTTGTGCACCTGTGTTTCAATTCACAGATTGAACCTGTAGCTCCTACAGCTCGTATTATCGAGCACCTTTGGGGTTTCTATTAGTCTTTTGCCTCTAGAGGGCACTCTTCCCCTTTCAAAAGTCAGTGGACATCAAGGTGGAAATCTGTGAAGCACAAAATTACTTCTGAAAAATAGTTATAGTTATACATTTTATATGTATTATGTGAAACATGCTAGCTAAGTATTTAATAATTAACAGGATTTATCCTCACAGTGACCTGGGGTTTGTCAGTATTGGGAGCACGACCACCCACTCATCCTCATTGGCTGCCAGAGACAGCAGGGAACAGCAGTGGTATCATGATGTGCAAAGCTGACATATATGAAGGACAGCAAAAAAAACACCTATGTGCTATTTCTCCTGCCTCCTCAGGTCTCACTACCACAGCCGACTCCCCACAGCCACGGGAATTTCTCACAGTTTAGTCCAAGTCTTAATGACTTCGTATCCAGGCTATACAAGTCTAACCTTAGACCTTTAGATCATTAGGGTCACTGGGAATGCCTTTCCCTATAACAACTTCCTGGTTGGGTAAGACATGATCTGCAACTTTAATATGTCTGCTTTTGCAAAATAACATATTACAGTGTAGCAGTAACACAACGGGCCAGTGGATGGCGATGTTGCTTCACACCTGCAGGGCAGTTGACTCGAATCTCTGGTTTCCTCCTGTGTGCACTGAGGTGAATTGTTGCGTATAAACCTTATAAACTGCCTATAGTGTCTGCATGTGCTTGGTGCCTGGGATAGGCTGCACCCCCCCCCACCCCATGCCTAGAATAAGTGTTATTAAGGTGGATCTGTGGGACATAGAATGTATATGAAGTTATTATAGCCCAGGAGACCTGGTCTAAACTGCTCCCCACCACTGTAAAAATGCTATACAATTCAACTCAGTATATTTTTATATAATGCCTTATACATCACAGTTAGCCCTAGGCACTTAAGAAGAGTGTGTGGCAATTCATTACTGAATCATTTATACAGAATGGTGCATGAGACAAGGAAATAGACAAGAAGGAAAGCCAATGGATGTGTTCATGCCTCAGGACCCTGTCAACCTGGCTGTTAGGGTCACCTCACCTCGACCTTCCCCTGACTGGGAATCTGGCACGGTCTATCAAACACTTCCAGTTCACCCAGAAGGTCCCTCGAGGTCTTGTCTCCCTGCTCCTGGTCTCCTGGCTTCCATATCCCTAAGCGTCCCTATATCAGTCTGTGTGACAGTTCCAGGTCTGAAAGGTCAGGAATCAAAGTCCAGTTGGTGTTCAGCCTCAGCCTCAGTGTAGCAAACGGAGCTCATCCACAGCACTGCAGCATCCCTTCACATCTTCTGACTCAAAACTCGTCTAATTAGGCTGCGCTCCAGCCCTGAGCTCCAGACTGCATCTTGATTCCATTCAAAGGGTTTCTTTGTACAGTATGAGGTTAGTTTTAGTAACTATTTTGCTTATGGATGGTATTACCCTATTTCTCTCTGTATTTGTGCCCCTAATTTTCATTACCCTCGTGTCTGTTCATATGTAACCTCAACTACTGCTGCCCACCCTTGAAGAGTCACCATTGTTGTTGAAGTAAAGCTACACAAACAAACAAACAATGTGACAAATGAGCTCTATGTCTCTCCGCTTGTTTGCTAACCTCCTTGCAAAAACTGCACTTGAGTCCTTCGGTGTAACAGGAATAGCTGTCGTCTAGAAAGTGAACGAATGGGTATGTCATTAATGAACGGTTAAGGGTATTGTCATTACTAAATGGTGTGAAATTGTGAGTAATGTAAATGGGCAATGCTGTTAAATGGATTATGGGTAATGTTACTAATCAGTAGGAGCAGCAGATGACAGCCAGACATCCACAGGAAGAGATTTACAGTAATAATGGAGCATAATCTAATTTGTGGTCTGTAAGTTTGGTTTTATTAAAAATTGCTGAATAATATCCAATAAAGATTTCAACTAAAACATTGAACTATCATTTTGTTTTTCAGATTTTCAAATCACCATTTCATGATCGCATTTTTATTGGCTTTCCGCAGCCTTTTTTGCAATGTCTTCCTCTTCCTTGATACTAGTTTTCCAGTCGAGGAGCGTTACAAGGAGAATCGCCTGCTGCCACCTGCTAGAAGACCTTCCCTGAGGATGTGCAGAGCACTGTTTAGCCCGCGTTGCTTGGCAAACACTCACATGTGCAGTGGATGTCCCAGTCATTCTGACCTGTGTAACACTGGTGATCGAGGTGGGAGAGTCTGTTTCAAAGTATGACATTCCATTATCCACACTCCCAAATGTATAACTGTAGAAAGTCTTCATTTAGGAAGAAGTGCTCTTTGACATGTGTTTTGATACCAAAAATATGAAATGAAATTGGAAAAATTTATTGAAAATACTTGAAATATTATTACATATAGAGAAAAGTTACAGTAAGATTTGTTATTGGTAAATAGCGGACCCTAAAATAATGGTTTTTGTTTAGCTATGTTTTTATATATCTGTGGAAAATGAAACCCCAGATTATATTTAATATATATGAACCAAACAGCTTCCTGCAGTCATGTTTGTCAGCCGCATCCTTTGACCTTTCGTCTGTTTCTTTGATGCCGATACTCTGGCATTGTAGCCTGTCCCCTATAGGGTTTGAACCCCAACCCACGTGTGAAGGTTGTGGGTTTAAAATCCTCTGATTTATTCCCATAGTCCAAAGACCTGCAGTCTGGCTGTGAAATGTGTGTCTGCCTTTTTCTCTGTGTTGATGAGTCAGTCCAGGGAAAAAGCTGCAAAGAAAATCTCACTTGCACAGAGAATGTCTGAGCTATTCAGGAATGTGCTACACATATTAAATTGTTATTTGGTTCAACAAAACATGTTTGACAGTATAAATTTATTCTGATGAACTCAAAAGTATTTTGCATATATAAAACAGGAAACAAAGTGTCTGCAAATATTAGCAAATTGTTAAGCATTTCAAACTTATTACATTTTTGAATCGGTATTCACTTACACAATAAATAAATATAGAACTTATTTATAAATATTTCTATACAAAACACCTTAAAATATTTTAAGGTTTAATTTAAAAAAAATGTAAACATGTGTCATATATATGAGTCACACGATGGTGTCTCAGGCTTACTGACCACATTTGGGGTCACCCCCTGCCCCATTACCCTGCGCTTCCTGGGTTTGGCTCCAGGCTCAAAAAAGTTTATATTATTGTATAAAATTCAACATTTCAACTTAATATCAAGTACTCATCTATCAAAAAAAATAAAGCAAGGCTTCTGAGCCCTGATCCTCAATTACGAAGCGCAGGTTTGAGCCTAGTGCTCTGTTGCTGTTCCATTATTTCCTTCCAGAAGGCAATAAAGAGCTGGGTGAGTCAACATCAGAAGGTTACTGAAGCCTCAGCTAATCCATGACTTTCTCCCAAGGGGTCTTTGACAGTTTCTTCTTCAAAAGCAATCAGGAGCGATTCTGAGTCTTGTGTCGTTCTTTGGATGCTTGATTCTTTTACCTGGTACCCCTAGCCGTGTCACACAGCTCCATTAGAGGCTGGCTACCTTCATGTACCCCTAGCCATGTCACACAGCTCCATTAGAGGCTGGCTACCTTCATGTAGCCCTAGCCATGTCACACAGCTCCATTAGAGGCCGACTACCTTCATGTACCCCTAGCCATGTCACACAGCTCCATTAGAGGCTGACTACCTTCATGTAGCCCTAGCCATGTCACACAGCTCCATTAGAGGCTGGCTACCTTCATGTACCTCTAGCCATGTCACACAGCTCCATTAGAGGCTGGCTACCTTCATGTACCTCTAGCCATGTCACACAGCTCCATTA